TTTCGGAGATACAATAAAAAAAAAAGACAATCGGCGGACATATGCACACCAAATTATCACATATTTTATAAATATTTTAATAATAAGAACAAATGTTGTTTACTTTTCTATGGGTACCGTACCAATGTTTATTAAACCGCGACGCGACGCCCACGCGCTTCTATATTTTGTTTCTACGCAGCTAACGTATCGCGATTGCTTTGAAAGAAAGTTCAAAATTTCCAAATTATTTCAAAGTATAAAAAAATCAAGTTTTTCAAAAAGGTCAATTTAAAAATCTCAAAAATCGAATTAAAAAAAAAATGAATCCTTTTAAAAATTTTAATTTTTGGTACGGGAAGTTCCAGCAATTTGCTTTAAGGCACGATGCCATGCACCACTTAATTTTCCGATAGGTTTTCAGATAAGTTGCCTACTTATCTTATGACTTACTATATACAGTAATATCTTATTAAAATAAAAGAGATACAGAAGCACAACTTGACTTGATTCAATTTTTTTATAAAATTTTTTTCCTTACGTACAAAAATGTAATAAATGGATCAATATAATAAATTACCTTAGTAGAACTTCATGTGCCAATTCGTTAACTAATACCATTTCTTTTGGTGTGACTTGTTGTACATGTGAGGGCAAATTTATATGTACGGTTCTATCGTGGTTTCGTTGGTTCATAAAACTTTGTACTGAAATTGGCTTTCTGAAGGATATTTTCATAGCTCCATACCTTTCATTAAGCCGTTGTAAAGAATGAAACAGACCCTGAAAAATAGAAAATATAAAACATCTATAAATTAATATTTTAGCATATAACTTCAACACATTTTTTCTGGCAAAATCTAATCAAGTTTTAAAAATTGTGAACGTACAATATCTGCATAAAAGAATACTTAAGCTTGATTTAACAATATAAATGTATGTAGTAAAAACTATTTTTTTACCTTAGTAGTCTCTTTCGGTTTTGGAATACCTAATAACTCAAATGCAAACAATTCTTCTTCTAAAACTCGATCATAAGATATAGAAATTGGCACAATGGTTATATCGGGGACTCTTCCAAAGAAATATGGTTCTAATGCCATGCTTAGCAATCCTAAAATATAAAGAAATACTCTATCTATTTGCTGTGCGATCAGGTGTATTTTTTTTAACCCATATTCGAACAAAGAATACTAATACTAGGGAATGCAATACCGATGCAAAAACTAATAAACACTTCTCCAATCATTACTAATTGAATGTTTTTTAGATCATTCAAATCGGATACTCCGTTCTCTCAAAAAGTCGATTTCTATTTTCTGCACTCTTTGTCCGTATCCCCGAAAACGGCTGGACTGCCTTTGCCAAAATTAATCAGCTTTTCCCTATCGATAGGAATCGAATGTTTTTGAACCATTCAAATCGGTTGATCCGTGCGCCCAAAATGTGACTGAAAATTTGTATCCATACATACAACACACACCACCACACATCCATTTTTTCTGAGGTATGCCAAAATGTTCAGAAACCTTCAAAACGTCGAGAAATGTAAAAATTCGGCCCATTACAATAACTTACCCTACGGGAAGTTAACAATAAGTTTATTTTTTAAATAATAATTTAACAAAATTATATCCAATTTAATTAATTCATTATCACTATCGAGAGTATATTGAGTACTTTTCACCAAAAACAAACTTATGGTAAGAAAGACAAAAAACTCATAAAAGATCATATTACATTATTATAAAAACTGTATTGTGTATACGATGTGTTAAATTAGCTTAATCTCCAATATTTAAAAAAAATAATTTTCTACACTAATTTAAGATCGGGTACTTTGTCAAGATAAATAATAGGTTACTATAATTGTTGAATATTGTTATTTAAAACAATGTGATGCTTCTATAGTATTTTCAAACTTCAAAACGTTTTCGAAAAATAATATTTTATAATTGTAATAAAAAGCAAAAATATTTAGTAATTATCATAATCATTATGTATAAAGTTAGAAAAAAATAAAGATTACGCAGAGGTAATCTGTATGATATAAAATATTTTGGAAATAGCACTTAAAAAACCGTTACATATTTACATAAGATGAATCAATGAATCAAACATCATTATCTATCAGTCCAATTCTATTTATTGTAACACGATATGAAGCCCTTAGTAAAGCAATAAATATACAGTTTAATGACGAGTTGAGATAATATTTGACATTTGTTTATCCTATAGAATCATTTGAAGATATAGCTGTTTATGCGATTATGGAATTTCAAGATAAATTTGTTCTGACCCAGTAAACACGCGATGTGATCTTCTATAATATCGACATCGTTATTATAATGCGGTTATCGAATCTACGCCACAAGAGGATTTTAAACTTGCGTGCGCTTGTGTGTGTTACAATACACGCAAAGCTCGCATTGAGTTGTCTCACGAGACATAAACACGCGCTGTCGGGGGTAATGACATCGTTGAATTTCATGTGAGATACATGTCGTGCGCTGGTGTGTGTTAGCACACATGCAAAGCATAATCAATGACGTCACACGGCGTGAAGCAAACGCGTCGTGCGCTGCGTTGTGTGCGTTGTGTGCCGGTGTGTGTGACCCATAGACCTTATACAATTTCATGGACTGCTAGTCCCCATACATTTCTCAAGTAAAAAAGTGTCAAAAGATGTTCTATGGTATGAGGGCAAACGAGGGTAATTTTGCGGCCGAGATATGTCAAACTCAATCGCTTGAACGTCAAATGAAAGTCCGTGTGTTCGAAATTGTTGGGAAAATATTATATAATATACAATTTATGTTAAACTAATGAATGTAATAAACTATTTATATATTTATTTATTTATTTTAGTTATACAAAGTGTTTAAGGAAAATAAGAAAAAAAAATAAAAAATATTTTACATATTATAAAATTCACTGAAAGTAAGAACAGTTGGCTAGAGCTATTATGGGAAATTAGAAAGCAACAATGAAATATTTGTTTAAATGTAATATATTTATTATTGGTGTTTAAAAAGCACAATTTTTGTGTGAAAGTGGCGTACATATTATCAACTTTGCTTTTTTTATGTTCTTCATGGTGCATTCTAATTGTTAAATACATTTTTGCGACAAAGTTGATAAGGTCATGATAGTGCTGGACAAATTGCTGGAAATGGCTTGATCTAAAAAAATGTGTAAGTCCCAAGTCATTCAACTTTCGGAGAATCGTGCTTTCATATGAACTTTTGTACATTAAATTTAAAGAATTTCGAATTAGGGTTTCTATATATAAATATAATTTAAACATTTCATCGGAAGGATATGAAAGATATCCTCGATTTTTTATATCGATGAATGTCGAATTTCCCGGAATACTTGCGAAGCATTCAGAACAGGTTTTACTGCAATCAGGAACTTTACCACAGACCAAACACATTTTAGAAGACATTTTACTTTTAACAATTTTACAACAGGTATATTTTTATGCTCTTTTAGTTTAAAAACACGAGCGATCAAACATCTCGTGAACCCAAGTAACTGTAAAATTTAAACGATCGAGAGCATTCGACTAATCTCGGTAAAGCTCGTGTTCGTATTTGACATATCTCGGCCGCAAAATTACCCTCGTATGCCCTCATACCATAGAACATCTTTTGACACTTTTTATGCACTCAACTAGCAGTCCATGTATTGTATAAGGTCTATGGTGTGACCATACAAAGAAAGCTTTACATCAGCGCGCCGTGGCCACTGGTGGAACCGACTGTTTCTTTGACGAAAGCTAACCGCGTACAAAATGGCGCAAAATGTCACGAATTTATCATGCATCAAGTTATATTTTCTTTAGTATAATAATTACATTCGTTTAGTTAAGCAACTTGTTTATGATAATTGTAGAAAAGTGTAGAAAAATGACACCGTAAGTATATCATATATTATTTATATAGATATGTAATTACTTCACGATTTTGAATTCCATTTAGTGCATTATATCCTGGGATGAAGAAACGTTATTTTATGTCGATTTCTTTAGATGACAAAGGAGGTAACCAAATAGCATATCTTACAAAATCTGAGGACAATAATAAGGATCGTTTAGCAAGGTTAAAATAATTATTTTACTAAATTAAGACATTAACATATCCATGTGTTCGACATAACCTCACTTCTTAAATCTCTTAAATTAGTCGGTTGAGAAGCGGATCGAGAATGATTGTTTGAATATGTAAGTCACTACAAATATAATAGCTATACAAATATATATAAACAGCAAACACGTATGCCATGTTCATATTTATTTCAGAAGTCGTACAAAATTGGAATGAAACGATGAACAATATACAGATCTTTAGACAGGCTCAAATAATGTATGTTTAGGAGCAACTTGAAGATAATGGAGATTTATCTTCTTAATATGTAAGTTGATTCATATATAGTTGCTGTATATATATTATTTGGTAACAAATACATTATATTTATAATTGTTTTAGAAAACCTCTAAAATTGGGAACAGTATGTCATATATGCATGAACTTGATTGATGTATTGATGTATAATGAACTGAAGATAGAATGAATTCAATCAGGTTAAAAAAATGTATGTGCAAAAGCGACTCGAAGACGATTTAGATTTGTCTCCTGAATATGTAAGTTGCTACACATATGGAGTGGTATATATATTATTAGATTCAATAAAACACATTATGTTTCAAATTGTTTTAGAAAACTTCCAAGAAGTACATCATATATGAATATCCTGTATCCTCGCATTTGATGTATTGAACTGGCGATAGAATGAAATCAGTCAGTGTTAAAAATGTATGTGTAAAAGCGACTTTAAGATGATGGAGATTTGTACACTGAACATGTAGGTAGCTACACATATGGTAGCTGTATATATATATTATATTATATACAGTAAATCACATTATGTTTGAATTTGTTTTAGAAAACTTCCAAAATTTGGGGCAGTATGTCATATGTGCATAATCTGTATCCTGGCATTTGATGCAATGAACTGGCGATAGAATGAAATAATGAAAAATAGGCAGGCTGTTTGATGTATAAGGAAGTGGCGATGGAATACTTATGCAACACTTCACACTTCACGCCCCAAAAATAGAATTACGTTCATTAGATATACAACAATTTTCATTAAATATACTGTTATTAATATGTTAAGATTGAATAATTTGTAAATAGTTTTCTAGTATAGTTCATGTTAAAATTTTATAATTTCTAAACTACAATTCTAATTTGTAATATTTAAATATTGTAAAATTTCTTATTATTCACGTAAATAAATGCTTATTCGTACAGAAAAGAATATTAATTGCATTACGTCATCACTTTCAGGTGCTATTACGTCATAACTGAGTCGCCATTTTGTATGACGTCATGACCGAATCGTTTTCATTCGCCAATGACGTCATGACTGGGGTTAACGCCTTACGTCAGACGGTCTTATCATAATAAACAAACATATGTGGGTCAACGTCGATTTTCATGTATCACGAACGCCGCGTGCGCCAGAGACCGAACCTCGATAGTTGTTCGATAGTAACATAAATTTGCGGCCGTATCCATTAAATATCGAGGAAAATGAATATGGGAACCGCATGTCACACGACCTAAATAAAATATTGCCACGATGTTGTGGCCATATCGCATGTTTACTGGGGAGAAATTTAAACTTTAGTGTATTATGTATCAAATAGGTAGCGCTTATGTAAAAATACCGAAAATACCGGCAATTTTGGGGTAAATACCGGTAAAAATACCACCAAAAAATCGGGCGCTTTACCGGTAATTCGGTATACCGGTATTGCATTCCCTAATTAATACAATGCTTTTTTCACTCACCAGTTTTAGGATACAAAGCCTTGGCTGTTCGACTTCTGGTGCCTTCAATAAAAAATTCCAAAGGCGTATGATGCTCCTGAACCAGGGCGTGTACGTATCTCCTAAATAAAGCCTTGTATAAAGGATCAGCCCCTGAAAGGGTTCTCCTCATGAAAAAAGCTCCTGTTTGGCGTAGGACTGTACCCATACCACGCATGCCATGAAAATCTGGAAAAAAAAATATATTAAACAAAATAATATTTTTGAAATTTATTTTTATTATTATTACCCATTCCTGCAGCCACAGCCGGTACCTGCAGCCCTTCACAGAAAGTAACGAAAGACATCAGAATAAAATCTGCATAACTTCTGTGCGAGGGTAAAAATAATACAGGACAACTTCCCATGTTGTTTTTAATCTGCAAAACAGTATTATCAGTATTATTTGCAAGTATAATTTATTTAAAAGATTTATTTTTCTTACCGTTTGTATACTAGATCTGTCCACCAGAAGTCCTGTGCAACATTGTTTAAATAATTTGCTTAAAATTACTCCTAATACTCGTATCACCACAAGTCTTCTGTCGAGGGCCATCTCTTCCAGGATTGCACATGCCTCCAATTTAATAGTCGATATTGGTTTCTTTTCTTCATTGTGTATCTTAATAATAAATAATAATTTTAAAAAAGTTATGCATGATATTTGCCATGAAGACAATAATTGTTGTAATACCAAAATTCAATTAATTCATATATTTAAATTTAATTATGTTATCCAATAACAATTAATTAATTGTTCAATATTTAGTGTCTGAATCATTTAACAAATTAATTATTATAATATGATGAAAATGTGTTTATTTTTTAATTGAATAAGTTATTAACAAAAATGAGTACAAATAGGTATTTTTTATTTGCAAGGATAACTTTGGATGTAAATTTTTCATATATTATTTTTTCTGACTATTTCTATTTGTTTTGGATATCATTAAGTTAAAAATATTACTTCTTATCAATAAGAAAACATTTTTCTTGATAAAGTCAAACGTATTAAAAATAAATATGTGTAATCTTATAAATAAATAAACAATAAGGGCTATATATGAAATAGTTATTTTCTATCTGAAAGCTTGAAATAAATTTTTACTAGAAGTATTTCTCAAATTTTAATTCTTACACAAAGTAGCTAATTTGTTTGATTAAAAAAATATTATTATTATAGTTTAATATACCTACTTTATTGTAAATTAAATATAAATATATTTTTCATCCAATTTGAGCTTGTAAATTAAATTTAAATATTATTTTAATCAATTTTGGGGTTGAAATTAAATTAAAATGAAATTAAATTGAAATTAAAAATATTTGTTATCAAGTTTGAGCTTAAAATTGAATTTAAATATATTTTCATCAAATTTGAGCTTGTAAATTAAATTTGAATATATATTTTCATACAATTTGAGCTTTTAAGTTAAATTTTAATTTATTTTTAATAAATTTAGACTTGGAATTAAATTTAAATGTATTTTTCATCAAATTTGGGGTTGGAACCAATATATTTTTGATTAATTTAAATATATTTTTGATACATTTTTGGCTTAAAATTGAATTTAAATATATTTTCATCAAATTTGAGCTTGTAAATTAAATTTGAATATATATTTTTATACAATTTGAGCTTGTAAGTTAAATTTTAATTTATTTTTAATAAATTTAGACTTGGAATTAAATTTAAATATATTTTTCATCAAATTTGGGGTTGGAACTGAATTTAAATATATTTTTGATACATTTTTGGCTTGGAATTAAATTTAAATATATTTTCATATAAATTGAGCTTGTAAATTAAATTTAAATATATTTTTAATAAATTTTGGGCTTGGAATTAAATTTAAATATATTTTCATTAAATTTTGGGTTTGGAATTAAATATAAATATATTTTTTTATAAAATTTGAGCTTATAAGTTAAATTTAAATATATTTTTAATCAATTTTGGGGTTGGAATTTAGTATCATTATATTTCCATTCAACTTTAGACTTGTAATTAATTTAAATATATTTTTAATCAATTTTGGGCTTGTAATTTAAATTTAAATATATTTTCAATCTGTTTGGAGCTTGTATATTAAATTTAAATATATTTTAATCTATTTTGGGGTTGAAATTAAATTTAAGAATATTTTTAATCTATTTTGGGGTTGAAATTAAATTTAAATATAAGTTTCATCCAATTTGTGCTTGTAAATTAAATTTTAATATATTTTTAATTTATTTTGGCTTAAAATTGAATTTAAATATATTTCACTCATAGTGTAATAGAAATGAATAGAAAAATTATTCATATAATAAAAATATATTTATATATTACAAAGTTAAAACAATAAACTTATTCTTGTAAATTTCTTAAACAATTTTTTATCATTTGTCGTATCGTAGAACCAGTTTTGCTAAAGTAAACTTTGTTCTGTCCATTATATTATTATTATGTATTATTTACATACTTTATTTTCAATGACATATTTTATTTAGCGCAATAACATTTGCATTGAATATTTAACTATTTTTGCAATAGAATTTAAATATTATAATCAGGGTGATAAATATAATAAATATTTAACAAAAGCAAACTTCCATTAAAATGAAAAAAATAATATTTATTATATTATTTTTGTAGTTTTTATCCAACAAAAAAGAGTCAAATTTGGTTATTTATTAAAAATACTGTTTTAGAAACAAAATTTAGACTTTTTGATATTTTATTTTTTATTTTTTGGAAATATGAATTAGTTTTATTTCTATTTCTATTATCTGCATGGATAATGATTTGTGTATATAAATAATTTCATTATCATAAAATAAATTTTAATAATTGATTACATTAATAGAAAAATACTTCAAGGTAATTTTCACTAAAGTTTATGTGCAGTTGCATTTTAATACTTTAACAATTAAATATGCAAATATGTAAGAAACCTAAAACTTTGTTTTATTTTTTACAATACTTGAAAAAAATGCTTTCATAAATTAGTATTATAATAACAAACATAAAATGATTATAAAAATGGAAATTATTAAAAGGATATTTGACCTAGAATTTAGCTATGTAGTTTAATTTCAATACTTTAGAACAATTAATTATAAAAGTACATAACAAAATCTAGAACATTGTTTGTAATTTATCATAATACTTCCAAAAAATATTTAAAAAAATTAATAATTTTTAATAATTATAAAATAAATATAAAAATATAGTTTTGTTGAAGTTTTCACAACATTTAAAAAAGTTTTACTTTTTACTAATTATTATAAAAACGGAATTGGTAATTATTATAAAGGATATTTTCCCTAAAATGTAGCTATTTACTTTAATTTTAATATTTCAACAATTATATATATATATTTTTATGAGAAAACCTTAAGAATTGTTATAGTTGATTGAAAATACTTCAAAAAGATTTACTTTCATAAATTAGATAAAAATTATATTATAAAGGATATTTGCTATGGAATTTAGCTATAGTTTAATTTAAATACTTTAATTAAATATATAAGAAATGAATAGAAAAAAGAGAAAAAAAACTTAAGCAATTAATAGGAAATTAATAGAAAATTTAATTAGAAAAAAATCTTAAGAATTGTTATAGTTTACCATAAGATTTGAAAAAGTTTTACTTTCATAAATTAATATTTATAAGCATAAACATCAGATTTTTTTAAAAATGGAAATATAATTTAATATAAAAGATATTTAATACTTTAATTAAATATACAAGAACTGAATAGAAAAAATTAAGAAATCTTAAGCAATTAATAGAAAATTTAAATAGAAAAAACTTATAATAGAAAGAATCATAAGACTTTAAAAGTTTTACTTTCATAAATTAGTATTTGTAAGGATAACCAATAAAAATAATCCAATTGTTATAAAAATTTAAAGGGAAATTATTATCAAGAATATTTGCTATAGAATTTAGCCATATAATTTAATTTTAATACTTTAATTAAATATATAAAAAAATAGAAAAAACCTTAAATAATCAATAGGAAATTAATAGAAAAAATAATTAAATAGAAAAAAACTTAAGAATTGTTATAGTTTATCATAAGACTTGAAAAAGTTCTACTTTCACAAATTAATATCAGTAAGGGGTAAACATCAATTTATTATAAAAATCGAAATGGAATTTAATATAAAGGATATTTGCCATAGAATTTAGCAATATAGTTTAATTTTAATACTTTAATCAAATATATAAGAAATATATAGAAAAAATAGAAAAAAAACCTTAAGCAATTAATAGAAAATTTAAATAAAAAAACCTTAAAACCTGTTATAATTTATCATAAGACTTGCAAGAGTTTTACTTTCATAAATTAGTACTTGTAAGAATAACAAATATGGATAATCCAATTATCATAAAAATTTAAATGGAAATTATTATAAAAGATATTTGCCATAGAATTTAGCTATGTATTTTAATTTTGATGCTTTAACAATTAAATATTTAAAATATATAAAAAAAACTAATACATTATTCTAGTTTGTGGATTAGGATATTCATCTAATTAATATAAAAAATCAAATAGAAATTATTATAAAGGATATTCGCCATAAAATTTAGATATAAAGATTAAATTTAATACTTTTTAACCATAAAATATAAAAAATCTAAAACATTTTTGCAGTTTAAAGAAGTTTTACCTGCATAAATTAGTTCAATAAATATAAAATTATTGGTAAAAATAAATATCAAATTAGTATAAAAATGGTAATTATTATTAGAGAAATTTGTCCTAGATTTTATAAATTCTGAAGTTCCAGTTTAAGGAAACCAGGAAGGATTTTTATAATAATTTGATGCTTATAAGTATATATAAAATATTATTATACATATGAAGTGAAATCTGAATAATGTCCTAGGATTTTTTTTTAAATATTTTATATTTTTACCTCTTGCAGTGTTTAAATTAGGAATATAGCTATAACTTTGTAAGGACAAGCATAAAATTATTAAAAAATTCAAAACAAATTATTATAAAAGTCCTTAATTTTTAAGTGAAACTATAATAGATATTTCATTGCAATTTTGTAGATTTTTTTACCTATATATGTGTATATAATTATTTAAAATTTAATATTATTTATTGATTATTTCAAACTAACCTGTTCGATAGCATTAGAAATTTCCGAACTATGTAAAACCAAAACTTTCAGCTCCTCCGGATTATAATATTTAGTCTGTTTATACGCAATTGTCGGCCTATAAGGATACGACATAAAGAAAGCATCGTCATTTTGTAATTTTTTCTCTGCTAAAATATTAACGTAATCTGTCCTTTCTTCCGACATGTTTACCACTATTCATTAATAAATATTATCAATAACTTTTAACATTGCATCGTGCATAGATAACATAATAATAATAATCAGTTGAATAAACTAAACACTGTCCGTTATATTTGTAGTATTTTTTTAGATTTATTTTGTAGATTAAACTGCGCACTTATTGTTATTAACAGTTGCAAGTAAATGTAAATAACGTCAAATGTCATGCGAGATGAACGCCATGACGCCATTACTAAAAGCTTTCACTTTGTGTGAAGTTGCCTGCAGAGGGAAAGTTAGGAGCAATGGAGATGGAGAATTATTATTTGAACTTTCTAAATACCGAATTCTTATACAAATTATTAAATTTTGTGAATAAAATTATTCTTTTGTACGTAGAAACTGAAATGGCATCGCTATTGTTCACCAAATATTTGGAAAGTCGGTTTATAATGTAGTAGTAAACGATTAAAAAATATGGTCGGATGATTTTCAAAAATTTTTGATTTTTTTTTGGATTTTTTTTTAAAAATCTAGTTGTGCATCGCATCGTGCTTTAAAGCAAATTTCAGAAACTACCCGTATCCTAAATTAATTTTCGTCAAAAATTTTGAAAAAATTGATATTTTTTGAAAATTTTGATTTTTTTTAAATTTTGAAACCCATTCTGGTCGTTTGATACATGGAACATTTATAATATAATAATAATTTTGATCGCCAAATGATATTTTTTAACTTTTAACATTTTTTAACTTAAAACCGCTGTTTTGCCAAAAATTCAATCAATTATTCATTCCGTTAATAGGAATAAAATGTTTTTTGAATCATTCACTTCGGACGCCCCGTTCTCTCAAAAACTGAATTACAATTTTTGGCACTTTTTGCTCGGTATCTCCAAAACGGCTGGACCTGCCTTTGGCACAAACTAATCAGCAAGTCTTCTTATTAATACGAATCAAATGTTTCTTAAACCATTCAAATCGGTTGATCCGTACGGAAAGCACGTGCTTTCAAAATCGTCGACGAAAATTTGTATCCGCGCATGTATACGTACTACACACACATATAGATTCTTTTTAAGGCATGCCAGAGAGTTCAGAAACTTTTGAAACGTGAAGATATATAAAAATTTTCGCCTTAAATTTTTTTGCAATTATTATAACACATCCAAGGGAAAGTTAAAAAAAATCGTCATTTTTTGAAAATTTTGAAATTTGTTGTATCTCTTGAAATTTTTTGAAAATTTTGAAATTTTTGAAATCTATTCAAGTCGGTTGATTCACACTCTCAAAAATGTTGAGAAAATTTGTTTGAACCATAAATATTATAAATGTTGGTACGGAACCCATAATAGCTATTATGAATATCCGGCGAATCCTTTCTAGAACATGTAAGCAAAATTTGTACTCATTTATAAAATCGTCTAAGGATCATTTTTGACCGTAAAATGGCATTTTTTCTATTTAGTTGATCCGTGCTCTCGAAATCGTCGACGAAAATTTATATCTCACATACATCTATTTTTTCTAAGGTATTGCAGCTTTTTCAGATAAATATATTTACTATATGATGGATATTTTTTTGAATGTGTTGATATAATATAATATCAGTCAGATTAAGCAGGAATTCATATGCTGATTGTTATCTAATTGTTTGTTTTCAATGAATAAAATTTAATAATCCTTGTTTAATTATTTTTGCACATTTTTTAGATTGTGTTTGTTATTGTTATGGTTCTACAGTCATTTGCATCCATTGTGTTTCAAGTTATATTATGTTTTTGAAATTTTATCTTATCTGAATGAAGAAATTTAATAATCTTTGTTTAATTATTTTATCATTTGTTTTTGAGAATCTGTTTTATATAATTCAGATGTTTAATTATCTGCTACGCTTATTAATCCATGATAACTTATTTGAAAAAGGGACTATACAATTTATTATTTATTTCAACAATTTTTGATGGTATTTTGTCCTACCTAGTGTAATTTTTTGAATGTTTAAGAATTGGGTTTATTTTATCCTTATTTGTTAATTTATGAATTAAATATTGGTTATTTTCCTGTTTTAACTTTTTGACCTATAACCGCATAGTTCCAATTTTACTACAGACTTACTTCGATCTCAGAAAAAATGACAAATTTCTTTGATCTTCTTAGTACAAACATTTCTTGATGTTGTACCTGCCAATTTTTGGACTTTTTCTTTACGTTATATTTATTTCATTCAGATTCATCTCCAAGTTGTGAGTTTTTTTTTATTTATTTTTCACTGATTCATAATTTTTTTTTTTTACTGCTTCTTGAATGATTTAAAGCTGTTATTATATAGTAAATTTATATTAAATTAGAAAATCCTGAGAAATGACTAAGACAGTTACTAGTCTAAAAATATAAAACACATAATTAAAACAATAAAATACATTTATTACATATATAATTAAATAAAATTTAATTCATTGTCGTAACATGTATTATAAAACAATTCATAAGTAATTTCTTAATTCTTAATAAGTTTTTAATAGAGTATACTCTATATATCATATAAAAATAGTATATCTTATATTTTTATATATATGGCATATCAATCAATTGATAATTATATTGCCATGACTATTTAAGCAATGCTTATCATATGTATTTCATCATAAATATTTAAATTAAAACTATATCTATCTTATATCTAATATTTTTAAAATCTAAGTTAAAACTATTAATTACTTCCTCGGTCTACCAACCCCTTTCTTACCACCTGCAGCAGTTTGTTTATCTTTATTGGTCTTATTGCTTAACAATGGGTGTTGCTCGTCTCCTACCACTCCTTTCAATTCGATATCAAAAGATTTGCAGTTTCTTTTCTTCTCCGGTGGCTGTCCAGATGCCTGTGCGGCTTGAGGACTTGTAGCTGTTTCCCATTCTTCAGGATCTTCCACCTCTGGTGCTATTGGCAAAAATTGTAAAGAATCATCATCGCTACCTTCATCAGTGCTGCAGAAAGCGGCAACTACATCAACTTTGGTGACGTCTACTTCAAAGTCTTCGTCTTGTTTATCTTCTCCAGATAAGTCTACGGATTTGTCTTCATCTTTCACATCAAACTCAGATTCTCGCTCTTCATATTCAACATTTTCATCTAGTTCTTTGAAATCTGGAGCAAATGCTGACCAGTTTTCGACTTGATTTTGAGCCCACACAGATACAACTCCTGAACTGATACTGGCAATGATCGGTCGAACGGGATGCCAAACAACATCAAGCAGCATCTCACCTTTAGTGCCGTGAAGGATTTTAACTAAACTACCTGTTGATTTTTCCCAGACGTACAGAGCGTGTTGTCTTGCAGAACCTGCACAAATATATTCTCCGTCTCCTGAAAATGTGCATTTTTTCCACATGGTTTTATTTACTAAATCCTGCAATTTTTGTATAGGTTCTGGTTCACCATCGTTTCCGCAAGCAAGAACTTCTTTGGCATCATAAACTCGGATCACTCTATCAGCAGTATTTACTAAAAAGCATTCACCCCTTCTAGCAAACTCTATACTACGAATAGCTGTTGCATTTGAAGTACCTACAGTAATTCTGAAACTAGCTTTAAAAGCAAAATCTGTTGAGCTCATTACTATAATCTTTCCTTTCGAGTTTCCTGTATAAACATACTGGCCTCTTCTATCAAAAGAAGCTACAATATTTAAGTCACCATCATCATCTACAGGTAAAATTTTATGCTCACCTTCATCATCGACTAATAAAGCTGCATGTCTCATTGGACAGACAAGATATTGCTTTTCATTTCTGGGATGAAACTGGACTCTCATTATCGGACAAGGAAACCGATATTTCTGGATACAATCACCGGATAAAACATCCCAAACACAAACATTATTGTCGGTAGAGGCTGATAGCAATTTTCTGCCGCTTCTAGACCAACTCAAGCTACATATCGGATGTACATGAGCACTTATAACTTTAGCAATACCTCTTGTAAGAAAGTCCCAAATTACAATTCTTCCATCATTACAACCGACAGCTAATAGTGTACCTCTTTTATTAAAACAGCAAGTAACAGCCAAAGAAATGCAATCTAAAGATCCGTCGAATTCTTCTGGATAGTTTTGGCCGAAGGATTCCAAAAGCTCGAGATTCATCTTAGAACTGTTATAAAATCGTAGAGTGTTGAACAAGAAATATAATTTGTGCAATTATTAAAATATAATTTGAATCAAATTATTAAAAATGCGGTTTATTTAAATAATTAAAAAGAAAACATTATTATGGTTATATTAAAACTGATACTGTAATTGCTCTCCGCGCGTAACTGTCGTCTGTTAAAACACTGACATCTCTTTTTTATAAATTAGTAGTGAAACATTTCTTTAGCATTGGGCAATACTGAACTCAAGAAATTCTTCTTCTTGCAGCCCTCAAAACTGCCTCATCTTGCAACTCTAAAGATAAGAAATGACATTTGTACCTCTTCAGAGGTTTATGAAATTTGTAAATTAATTATTTTTGGAAATGAAAATTTTAATATTTATAAACTGATTTTAAACGATCCATTTTCGTAGTCATGTTATTAATTTTATCACCTGACCAAAAATCAAATTGTATATAAAATAAATTCATGTTTCGCAACAACTCGTGCTATATTATGTCATTATGTATAATATAAATTCAAATAAAAATATTTTAATAATGGTAATATAATCAAATTATTAATATGATGTCTGCAATTTTCATTATTATGCAAAATGGATGAAATTCTTTTTCGCCTTCATCAACGTGTTGAAGCTTTACAGGTGATGGTAATAAAATATTTGTGGAATAATTTTATGATTAAATTTATTTAATTAGTTTTGTTGAAATTAGGTACAGGGTAATATTATGAGCCAAAATGGTACTGAACTTTTACGACAATATTTAGCTCAACTACGTGTTACGATGTCACAGGTATCAGAAATGAAAAATACTAAATGACCATCTATTATTTCATTATTTTAATTTGTTCATATTATGCCAAATTTAAATTTATGAATTATTCAATAACAACAATAATTTATTCATGTTTTTTTAATACTAAATTAGTACTTAAACAATGCAATATTCTTTCAATACAAAGATAGAATTTTGCACTTCCTATAATTATAATTGAAGTTTATCTGATTAGAATTTTTTAATATTATTTACAATATTTTCCAGATTATTAATCAATGTGTTCTTACAGCTAGCAAGTAATGACAGAGTTGCAGAAGCTCAACATTTTTTCTCAAACAACCTATCCAATTTAAAACAGCATTATGCAAATGCCCGAAGTAATTTCACAGAGCTAATACAACCTGCAGTCATATACGGACATTTAACACATTTCTTTAGAAATGAACGTAAGCAAAAATAATCAAATTCTAGCATGGTTCATAAATTTTTCCCATAATATTAATATGAAATCATTTGTTGTAGTTGCCATTAATAACACATTTTATCTTATAATTGGACTTGTGATCGGTGGTGCTGGTGGAACTATGTTTGGGTGGTATCTTGCCTGTCCTCCTATTACACCAAATTTTATGAAAGCGGTTGTTGCTATATCGTATCGTGGTATAAATGTAGGTAGATAAGGAATAAATATTTATATTTATATAGATTTTTAACAGGTTGTACACCAGGTTGTAATATATTATTTTGTTACTATTTATTCTTTGATTTAAGTATTTTATTAAAGCTGTCAACTACTGAACAGTTGAAATAATAATTATAACAGGCTGTGACTTCCAGTCAAAAGGTCCAAGTTCCAGTTTTGAACCAGCAGTCTGACGAATTGCTTATCCGTGTTAAAGCTGCCGGTCTTGTAAAATTGGATGATCGAATTGCCAAAGGCTATGCTAAAGTTTTGCGTAGTCTGTACTCAAAATCTAAGGTAAAAAAGCAGTTAAATATGTAATATACATTACATGATACAAAAATACATCTCATACATTGATTTTTATGCAATTTAATGTTTTTAATAATATGTATTTCAATGCACAGTATATTTTATATTAAATTTTTATTATTAGGAAAGTTTTCCAGTGATTCTTGGGAGAGCTTGTTCAGGTGTGGTCGAAGCAGTTGGAGGATCATCAGATTTATTTGAACCTGGAGATGAAGTTTGGGCAATTACGCCTTATTACTTGCCAGGTTTGGCATCAGAATTGACAATAATTCATCAGAACCAAGTTAGCAGGAAACCGAAACAATTGGGATATATAGGTTTGTTATTTTATTTAAATATTAATATAAATTTTATACATCTCAGGCAGGCCACAAAGTGCCTGGTATGAGAGATCATATAAAATATCCATATCATGTATATATATATATATATATATATATATATATATTTATATATATATATATTATTATATATATTTATATATATATATATATATATATATATATATATATATATATTAACAAAGTCTAATAATTGTTATGCCCGATTATTAGACTTTGTTAATACATATGTCAACATCAAATTCAGAATCATACAATATATATATATATATATATATATATATATATATAATATATATATATGATTTAGTAGTTAATTTTGATGTTGAAATATATGAGTGAGTTCTTGAGGGCGATACATCACACAAAGAAAAGGCAAATATTTATAAAATAATCTTTAATTCCAAACGTTTTGACATTCAATTTAATGTCATCATCAGTGGATATTGAACATAGTATTTTATATCTAAAAATGTGTTCACATCACAGAATTTTGATATAACCAACCAGTCGATAATCATGAATTTTTTAGTAAGAAAAATAAGAGTTTTGTTTTGCAAAACTGTGAAAATTTTTTTTAAGTATTATTGCACAGACCAGAGGCTATGTTATCTCTACACGACCCGAGGCAAAAGACTTTTGTATCAATGTTAGTGCAAAATTCTGTGATGTGTACACATTTTTGCTCCAGCTTAAATTGGTCTTTGTCTGCATATACTATCGCGGTATCATCTGCGTATAGTATATATCACCCCTTTAATTTTGCTTTTTCCAAGTTAGTCGTATTCACAAGGTATAACAAGTGCCCTCGTGACTGACCCTTGTGGTACTACACATGTTAATTTGCATATTTCACTTGCGCCATTTACAATCTTTGTCCTCATTATTTGTTTGTTCGGTCAGAAAATCCTTTAGATTGCTGAGAAGATTTCCACTCATAGTTCTAAAAGTTTATTGATTAGTATCTTGTGATCTGTTAGTGTTATATTGCCACTATTAGTAAAAAAAATTTTTTTATCCAAATCTAACACAAAAGACTTGGATTAATGATTGTGATTTAGAAGATATTCTGAAAATCAATGAAGGCGATACAGTAAGAAAGTTATATTCAATTAATTAATTTATTTATTCAATGTCCCAGGCAATAATATAATATAATGACATTTTAAAGTGTATACATTATAAACTAAAGATAATATGTCAGAAAATTAGAGTATTAAAAGTTCATTCATTTAGTTCAGTTCGATTTAGAAACATAGAAATCTGCTTAGAAGGTATTAAGAAGGGTAAATAAATTAAATAAACTAGTGCTGTATGGCAAGGCCAAATTCTGGAAATTTCCGCACCGAATTAATATTTTGAAAATTTGAATCATTTTCGATATTCGATATAAAATAATTTTGAAATAATTTAATCGGATGCTTATTTTTCTCAAAAACTGCCATTTTTTGCACATTTAAGTCTGTATCTCCGAAACGGCTGGACCTGCCTTTGCCAAAAAAGCTTTGGTTTTTTGAACCATTCAAATCAGTGGACCCATGCGCCTTAAAACGTGGATGAAAAATTGTACCCATACATCCTAACACACACACTCATATCCATTTTTATAAGGTATGCTAAAATGTTCAGAAACCTCTCAATAGTGGAGAAATATAAAAATTTTCAATTTCGATTTTTGGATTATTACAATAACTTAGCCTACGGGAAGTTAGTAATAGAATTAAAAGAAATATTCACTCATCATAATTATCTTTCTTTAACTTAATTAATATTCCTGCATTAAAGTGACACAAATTCTGTTTTAATTTTCCGAAGGAAAGGCTTGAGATCTTTTAAACGATCACCATTATCTCTTAAAAATTGCATAATATCATTGTGATCATTTAAAAAAGCAAGATCGAATGGTGTGTTTTGCGTGTTATCATATACATTAACATTGGCTCCATTTTCTATTAATAATTGCACGATTTTTAAGTGGCCATTAAGGGCTGCATAATGCAATGCTGTACGTTTTTCTCCATCGACGGCATCAACTTCTGCGGAATTCTTTAAGAGAATGTCAATAGTTTTTGTATAAGGTTTTTTACATGACTCTAGAAGTAACATTGAGTCTATCCAAGGTACTTTAGCTTTGGCACCATTGTCTATCAAAATCTGAACAATCTCATAGTGGTCGTTTTCTGCTGCTACTTGTAGTGGAGTATAGCCGTTAGCAGCAAAAGTGCAATCACGAACTAAATTTTTATGATTAGATTTTAATACAAGGTTAGCATTGGCTCCAAAATTCAGAAGGATTTTAGTCATTTCCGTGTCTCCTTTGAATGCTGCGTAATGTAATGGAGAACCGTAGTCAACATCGTGACCATTAATAACTGCCTTCACAAAATCAACATCTATTTGTTGTAAAATGCTTTTCACATCCTGGTGTTTTGTATTTGAAATTGCGTCTATTAGCTTAACAAAGTATTCGTTAAGCTGTTTCAATAACTTGTAAATTTGTGAACAGTTGTGGAAAAATACAAACAATGATTCTAAAAATGGAGCTTCAATTTTATTTTCAGCTATTTGGATAAATATTGACCAAAGGTATATTAAATTGTCACGATTGTGTTCAAAAATTCCAAGTATATATTCTTGGAGTTCAACATCTATGTTTATTCCTTCTATATTTAGCACATCCAACAATTTGTCATGATCACACAACCCTTTGGTTTTGAGTAGTTCTTCCATTTGATTTCCAAATCTCAAATGTTCTTTTAACACTTGTATGAATGCACCTTCCAGTTCTATTCCTCCTTCCATAACTAGATCATGAATACGATGTATCAGACTTGCTTCAGGTATCATTTGTGGATTGGTGTTGTTTGTATTTTTAATTTTATATTGATGGCAGTTTAATTTGCTAAGAACATTAACGATCAGTTGATATCTCACATCCATTGGATCGATCCCTTCTTCAATACCTTTTTTATGGAATTCATATATTTTTCTTAGAAAACTTGTTTTATAATAGAGCTTTTCAGCATTCTGAACTGTTGTAAAACCATCAATACAAGAGTTATATCCCGAACCACCTTTAAGAATGAGTACGACCCTATCATATAAATTGCAAACATAATCTTTTTCTTTATTTTTAAAAGGGTAATTATAGAAAACAAATTGCGGTATCCAGACATTATTAGAAAAATAACGGTCATTGCTTTCAAGAGCTCTCAAATAGTTTATTAAAAGTGTGTTCAAACTTATATTGAAATCAAAACCCTTTTCAATGAACTTCATTGTTATTAATTTATTGTACACGAGCAAGTACGATAAAAGCTTGTCACTATCCTTTGCCGAAATTAAATCTTCGATATCAGTCTGTCCTATCAGCAGACAGGCTGTATCAGGTGGCACAGGTTTCTTAACTATTTCAATTATCGGTAAACGACTTTCATGATAATCATTCCAGAAAGGTTTACCGTCAATCAAATTCATCTTCAATCCAAATTCTAGATAGTTCATTAAATTGTTTTCAATTATATTTTCCTTGATTGTATTAAACCTTGTTTGTCTCCAATTTTCATCAAGCAACATTTTATGAATTATATATTGTGCGATATTCTGGTGCTCATTATCAATTGCTAAAAACAAGGGGCTTTTAGTAAATTTCCTTCTTGTGACATCTTTTGTTAAGAATTCTGCGTCCAGTTTATCCACTAAGGCATAAGAAAGTTCTTGATGCCCAATTTTTATACTAGCACGTAATATTTCGTATTCATGATTTTGATCAGGAATCATATTTACAATTTCAAGTGCATCTTTTTCAGCAGCCATTAAATCAGAAACAAATTCAAATATTAAATCGTAAATCCTGTCATAGGATTCGGCAATATTTTTTAATAGCATTTGAATTTTAATCCCTTTGTCGAAAGTGGTAATATAATTTTCGTTATGCCTTGCTTGTAATTGTAAAAATTTCATCACTTGTATATCATGATATTTATTAATGACACCGTATACAATATCTACTACAAAACATTTCTCGAAGTCATCAATACTAATGGATTTGAATTTATTCCAAAAGTAACAGGCGACGAAATATTCAGCGTAGGTTCGGTGGATAAATTTTGGCTTTCCGCCAACATTGCCAACAATAATTCCCAATTTTTCAATAGCATGCTCATTTTCTTCCATTAAAACTTGAACGTTTTCTAATTCTTTTTGATCTAATATTTTTACAAGCTCGGCTTTTTCAAGTAATGAAAATAACGCTAATAATTCATGATTTTCTAGAACCAATCGGTAGTTTTTGTCTTCTTTGAGCTTATGATATGGATCGGCCATGTCAATATTACGCTTTTCTTTGCTTTCAATCTCAAAATATTTTATTTCAACAAACTTTTTATATAACATAACTAAATCCAGACCGCTCCATTTGAATTCATTGTTGTTACCCAATGTGTAATAATTTTCGAAATCATTTTGTAAAATATTTGCCACCATGAGTGCTTGCAGTGGAATGCTCATCATCGAATCAGAACTATTAGTGATTTTATCTATCACTTGTAACATTTTAGAAATTACATTTTCTGATCGCTCATCGTTCCATTCCTTAATTTTGCAACTTTTTTTCCAGAATTTTTGTAACAATTCGACCTGTTGTTCGCGAGATAGTGGCTCTAGTGAGTGCGAAGAAACTTCAAGTTTGTTTTCCAACTCGATTTTGATTATGTTGTAAGGACGGGTGGTTATCCAAAGATTCTTTATTTTGCTCATTTTCAAAATAAAAAACATCTCCAGAACTTTATCTTTGTAGTGTGGACTAATCTCATCGAATCCGTCAAATAGTAAAATCATTTTTTCGTTGTTGTAGCAATGATTAAATAGATTTATTTCTAACAAATCCGACTCATTAATTTCATTTTCAGATGCTTTCAAAAATAAGTTTCCGTTTTCTACAATTAAATTGTTTAGTATATATTCGATAATCGAATTTCGTTCTTCTTTCTCTTTTTCCTTTTTTTGAAAAAGTTTGAAACGTGCAGCTTTATATAGGAACCTAATAACATCTAATTCTTTGAATTCGCTTTGATTTTCTACTTCCTGCTGTAATTCGGTTGCATGATTTATTAAATTAATTCGTAAAATCATAGGATGGATCATGTTGTTTAGTCTGCACTGCTAAATGTGTCAATGTCGTTGATTTGCCCATACCTGGATCGGCGGAATTGATAAATACTTTCGCTGATGAATCTGTTTTTTTTTAAAAGTTTTACTGGTACTCTGACACTCCGTCAAGTGCATCGAAATTGTTTGACTGCGGCTGATTGATCACGACTATTAACCCACTGATGTTCATTCTTGAATTTGTCAATGAATTGTTCTCGGCCAACTAATGTTCGGTCTATATAAAATTCCGTGTATTTTGCATCTACTAATGTTTTTCCAATTTCTAAAGTATTATCATTGACAAGCGTGGACAAATCTTCACCTTGTATAAGACTTTTGGAAGAATCATCTATTACGGTATTCAAACAAGTTTCTTCTCCTTGAAATATGATCTTTTTTGATAAAATTATATTTTGTGAATTTTCATCCAGATTACTCAAATTAATATGATCATCTATTTGCTCCCAAAAACTACCAATTTTATAAAAATAATCTTTGAATTTTTCAGCCAGAGTGTCATTCTTTTGAGAGGTTATAATTAGTTTTTTCTTATTATCAGAGTTTAGTAATTTTACAAAATTTGAGTAGAGTTCACTTACATTTTCTTCGGTGACGTCCGAAATGATTATCAAAATTTGCCATTGCGTTTTTTGGCTTAATGCTTCCAAAATTGTTTCAACATAATCGCGCGATTGTGAATAGATATACTGGAGGTCAATAAATTCGACATTTTCACACGATCTATACTTTTGTACTAATTTAATGCATGTTAATAACTTTTGCTTTGTGACAATATTTAACACTCGTTTCTCAAGTTGATCTTCAAATTCTGACAATCCCAGTTTTGTAATCGAATCGCATTGAAATTCGACGCCAAAACGTTCGATACTCTTAATATACATAATTCTCAAACTGTTTAAAATTGGTTTTATCTTGAATCTCTTTGTACACATTATCGAAATAATTACAATTTTCTGTTAAATACGAAGTTTGATCTTGGCATTTCCACCACTCCTGTATCTTATTGTGAACGTGTTCAAAAACGGTATCGATTTCAAAACTGGAATCGAAAAACGATTGTTTTTTTTGATAATATTTATTGATTCCATGCTTAATTATTTTTTCCACGCCATCTTCATTTGCTTGATCAGTATATAAATATGTTTGATTTAAAAATTGTCTGAACAGCTTGTTATCGATTAAGGACAACATAGGAAAATCCTTGATATCAATTTCAAATCGTACTTGATTTAAATTCTCATGTGTTAAGCCGGCTTGTAATTTCTTGAAAAGATTCTTGGAACACATTGGTAATGAGTTTTCGTCAGTATTGAATTTGAGCAATCCGGTCGAGTCATCCAAAATGAGAAGATTTCCAACTAAACCACCGATACCGCCGTTGATATCCAATTCACCTTTTGTGAGAAGTTTTTCAACACCAACTATTTTGTCATCAATTTTAATAATATTATCCCCATCTTTCAAATTTTTTAACAATTCAATTAACTTTGATGACAAATGATCTAATCTTTTATTTTGCTTCTTTTCGTTTCCTCTTATTTTTAAATCAAGATTTCCAAAACCAATCGGTAATTTGAATGATAATGCAGCATTTTTGTTTTCTTTTAATCTATTTTCCTCAATTATTTTGTTAAAAATAGATAACAAATTATTATTATCATCGGGTCTAAATTTTCCAGTGCAATATTCTTTGGATTCGTCATCAGAAACAAGTATGATATTCTGCGCCAAAAATACGTGGTAGGTTTTCATCAGGTCATCCGAGAGTATGTTTTTGTAATTATCTGGGTTAGAAAAAATAAATTCATACATTTTTTCAGCCAATTGTTTAACACGCATTTCCTTTATGGTTTGGACAAGACCATCCACTTCAACGGATTCCAATGGTAGAGTTTTTCCTTTGGCATTTGTGTGAAGCAAGTCATCATTGTTTGTATAAATATTTCCACTTTTGTTCTGATTAAATTGCTTCCTTAGAAGGAGTATAAATAATGAAGCTGCAATCTAAATCTTGAAAGTATTCGGCGAATACAGGATCTTTACAGTCCGGATTGAATTTATATTTAATAGATAAATAACTATCGTAATACTTCGGTAGACCAAAATCTCCATCATTTTTCTGTAGTTTTCCTACTGTAACTTTATTCTTGGCAGGGTCATCTTTGTGTTTGGCTTGTATGAAAAAGTATTTTAATTTTTGTTCATCTTTCGACTTGCACCTCAGAACTATGTCGTCAAAAGCACCTAAACCTTCGACATTTGTACCTAAAGCAAAAGAATCGAGTTCCGTCCTGTTTAAGGCTCTTACCAATATCAGCATTATCAACTTTGTTTCATAATGTTGGCCTCCTATTCCTGATGTTCCTGGTCTTTTGGGATATTTATATTCTTGAATTGCAGGGAGACTTTTTATTTGGGTTCCACGAGTTTGTCCTCCTAAAAAAGATCAAGTTAAATGTAGTATGTATATGCAATGTGTAAAGAGTATGTATGTGTATGTGTGTGTCTGTATGCATGTGCGGATACAATTTTTCGTCGACGATTTTGTGAACACGGATAAACCGCTTTGAATAATTAACTTTGAAATTCTTCAAAATTAGGTCTTTTTTGAAAATGATGAAAAATGCCGAAAATTTGAATTTTTTGAAATTTCGAATTTTTTCAATTTTTTTTTTAATTACGAAATTTTTTGTAAAGGCATTTTTTGCACACCGTCCACTCAAGTAAAATGTTTTTTGAATTAATTTAATCGGATGATCCGTTCTCTCAAATTAACCATTTTTGGCTCTTTTTGCCCCGTATCTTCGAAACAGCTAGACCTGCCTAAAACTAATCAGCACGTCTCCTTATCGATACGAATCGAATGTTTTTTAAATTATTCAAATTGGTTTGTTATTTCGTACTGTCGAAAATGTCGATGACATTTGTTTGAGCCATATAAGTAAACTTCAAAATTAAAAATCTTGGTACGGAACCCAAAAAAAATGACACAAAATGCGTTTCTCTATGAAATATCTGATAATTTGATGTGCATATATCCAATGAACATTTTTGACCGCCAAATGGCATTTTTTAAACTGATAATTTCTGGGAAAACAGGTCTAGCAGTTTTGGAGATCCAATAAAATAAGTAAACTAGTGAAGCATGGCATCGTGCCTTAAGGCAAATTGCTGAAATTTCCGGACCAAAAAATAAAATTTTTAGAAAAGGTTCAATTTTTTTTTTAAACTCTGAAAAAAAATTGATTTTCCAGAATTTTAAAACTCACTAGTTTTCTAGGCATCTTTATGATGCAAGTGAGTTAAATATAGAAGTTCACCTACTTGGTTCCTTTGTGAATGAAGTGCTTGCTTCTTCGTCAATTCCTACCATATGTTCTGATTGATTTTCACTTGTAGCTAATACTGGGCACAACATTTGCGCAACTTTTTCATTATTAATCATTTTGGCAATATCTCGAGGTGTTTTACCGCTGTTATTGGAAACATCAACTTTTGCATTGTGTTTTAACAATATTTGCACAATGTCTTCAAATCCTTTCGAAACTGCGATGTGCAATGGAGTATCGCCCCTTGTATTCCTGGTGTGATATCTGTTTTCCATTTTGGATGCAAAAGTTCCTCCACCAAATCTTTTTTATTTTTTTCTGTGGCGTAGTGCAAAGGCGTATTGTCTTTATTATTTTTGTCAACTATGTTGGTTTTTACACCAGCGGTCAGTAAATTCTGTACCACTTCTAAATTTCCGATTCTTATGGCTGAGAATAGTTCGAATTTTTTATCACGTTCTTCATCGCTGTCACTAAAGAAATTTTCACTTGATTTTGAGTCATGATCCATTTTCACTTGCTCCATAATAACCGACAGTAAAACTTGAACTGATTATTTCTATAGAATTCGATCTGCGATTACCTGTTGTTTACTGCAAATTTGTCTTATCTTGCCAAAGTGGATAATTGATTAAATTTGATTAGATTATGAAAAACTTTCGCTGCCGATAAAATTGTTCTATCTACAGGAAGTTAATAATAGAATTAAAACAAATATTTACTCATCATAATTATTTTTCTTTAACTTTCTCAAAAATTCTTGCAAACGATTCAAAATAAATACACTCTCTTTGCCATTTAACAAACAAGTTTATTAAACTTATTTTTTTATGCACACTATTTGAGGCACAAAAAACTGATGAATTTTTAGCTAGGACTATTTACTTATAATGTTTTTTTTTTAATTAATTTTAAATTACTAATAAACTTATGTTTAAATTATTACAGCTGCTGCAAGTCTTCCTTATGGTGGTTTTATTGCGATGAAAGCACTTGAAGGTGCTAATTTAAATGAAGCCACTGCTAAAAATAAAAGGTTAGCAATAATAATAACTTTTTCTAAATTTTTTACATACCTTAATATTCTTTTCGTATATTTTATATACTTTAATTGTACTAACAGAGATTTTTTCATATCTAATTAAAATTGACATTGTATTTTGTTCATTATTATTTTAATATAATTTTATTTCATTTAGAATATTCATATTGGGTGGAAACTCCCCAGTTGGATGCATCCTTGGACAATTACTACAATCGTGGGGAGCTCACATTACAGTATCTTGTGCACCGATTGGTATAAAAGTTGCCAAAGGCCTTAGGTATAAATATTTATACCAAAAATTAAATATAAATTATTATTTAAACAAATCTTTCTATTCTCAGGAGCTCATGATGTCATAACATTGATTCCTGAAAATGTAGATAGCAGTATGGCAGAAGATGAACTTCAAAATAGCACTGATTTATTGTTAAAGGAATTACAACTGAATGATCCATTTGATACAATATTTTTAACGGTGGAATCAAATATGAAGCATACGAGTGGTTGAATTTCATAAATAAGGAAGATGTATTATTATACTATTGAGCCGGAATTGTTGAGCGATAGCTTGGGTTTAATATTGAGGACAATATATTCTTTTGGTTTTTATGCTAAACGAATTATTGAGGTATGTGGTAGATATTATACGAAACATCATGTAATTTGAAATTTTAAAAATGATTTTATGTTTCAGCATATTTTTGGAAGACAAACGTTACCAGCAAACGTAATACTAGACAAATTAGCATTATATGTTGATAGCTATCAAATACGTACAGTAGTAGACAGGGTAAGATATATTAAATTTTACATAATGAATTTTCACCAGTTTTGTTTATATATCAAATTAATTTCAGGTTTTCACACCATCTGATTCAGAAGTTGCAATGGCCCATTGTTGCAGTGCAGACTCGATAGGTAACACAATAATTAGTTTTCAAGAGACTTGAATATTAGACACAAACCGTCTTATTGCCAAGAGTGCCTGTTTTGTATCAATAAGCGAATTTAGTTGCCAATGAATAAACATGTGTGATGCAAAGCGACATTTAGCCAAAAATTAATCAAACAATTGTTTCATAATATTGGAGTGTATATAGAACAAATTTTTAATGTGTATGTATATTGTGTGTTTTTAATAAAGATTTTATTCACGTTTTGAAAAGTTATAACATGGTATTATTTTATATAATACTAGATGACCCGACAGATGTTGTCCTGTACCGTTGTAATATTAATTTGTCAAATCCTGTTCATAAGTGTATTATTCAATCTGCCATACATATACTCTATATCTTATATTATTTCAATTTTTGGCACATTTCAGCTGCTTATCGACATTGATAATGTAGACGTTTCATTTTTTTTATTCATAATTACGAATTTATTGTGCATTTTCTAATATTGTCTAGGCTCATAAGTAAATTGAAATTTTTGGTAGATGATAGTTTTGATTTGTTTTTAATGTCAAACAATGGCTCAAATATTTTCAATGTCAAACAATGACATGTGTTTTTTTTGCATTTTTTTCCCATTTATTTCTACAATATTACTATATTTTTATAATCACATTCCTTTAACAAACTTCAGAAAGATTTATCAAAATCCGAATAACTGTTCATTTATGAAACTATGACTGAAAGAAAGTTAATTACATTGCATTTGCATGTAATTAGCTAAAATTATTGATACTTTCTTATTTCTATATCTTGATAATACATCAAAGGGCATTCAA